ACGCCGTGTAATACATCAATATATTATCAATTTACATTCAAAGTGGGCAAAATCCAGGATTACAGGTTGGTTTCTGGCCTTTAATCTCACACAGTTGGTACCTTAACACCTCGTAAAAATGTAACAGAAACAAGCCCCAACGTTTGTGGTTTAGTTTCTTTCAAGTCTTTTAGGGTGCCTTCAGTCTGGACCATCTATTGATTTCACATAATTCTGAGGAAACCAAGCACTCCAGGGATACATTTATCGAGGGTTTTCAGACGCAACTTTCTTTTTTTTATGTCAGACAGTTAAGTTTAAAATTAGATTTTTTTATCCCCTGTTTGTATTTATTGTTAGCAGGATATCTTTAGGTTACAGACTGTGCGGATACATCACTTTAACTAGATGTTGTTTTTATCCTTCACTATTCATTCTCTTGTAGGACAGTCCAACATTATTGGAAAATCAAACCAAGACAAACAACACTCTTGTTTAAGAGTCATATACATTGTTAGTACTCTGCTAAGGAGTTTCCAGGATATAAAAGGCATATTTTATAGTTATCTGGACCACCTCACACTGTGTTGAGCTTCACTGAGAAATCATCTCGTTCCCATTCTTCCACTAGAAAATAAGACACCAGATAAGTTATACAACTATGGCCTGTTTGTATTTATTGTTAGAAGGATATATTTAGGTTACAGACCGTGCTGATACATCACTTTATAACTAGATGTTGTTTTTATCCTTCACTTTTCATTCTCTTGTAGGACAGTCCAACAGTTGATTGGAAAATGGCAGCAAAAAACAATCAAACCAACTCTATTTAAAGATATACATTGTTAGAACTCTGCTTGGAAGATTCCTGGTAATAAAATACATATTTGATAGTTATCTGGACCGTCTTACGCTGTGTTGAGCTTCACTGACAAATCATCTCTTTCCCATTCTTCCTTGTAGGACAGTCCAACAGTTGATTGGAAAATGGCAGCAAAAAACAAGCAAACCAACTCTATTTAAAGATATACATTGTTAGGAGTCTGCCAAAGGGGTTTCCTGGTAATGAAAGACATATTTTATATTTTTCTGGACCACCTCACACTGAGAATCATCTCGTTCCCATTCTTCCTGTGGAACATCAGACATCAGTGTCTGCCATACGGCGTTATGAATCCTGCTGGAGGCACGTTATCAAGATGAATGTTTGCCACATTGCTGCCCAAAAATATGTAGAAGTGTTTAGTCTGCTGGTAATCCGGCCTTCTGCCTCTCTCTCCGCTGGCCTCATTAAACAAAGCTCTCTGCCAGTTGGCCGGCTGGCTCGCTGTGTACAAACAAAACCTCGGATAAACACAGGCCACATGCTTTATTCCACACAAATATAAAGACACAGAGATACTCCGAACGTGTCCACAGTTTGCAGTTTTTCTCTACGTTGTTGTACAAGTTTTTCTGAGTGTTGCATCAGTGACTCCATACAAGCTGTCATTTCTGCGTTTTAATGAGACGTTTCATCCTTTTCCTATCTCATTCATAAATTAATATGCAGATTAGAGCCTTTAGATTCCTCCTTTTCACTTCTCATGCATTCATTATTATAGTAGTTTACTTAATGTGGCATAGGATTTATATTCATCACTACGCAGCTCATGCTCACAAACAGACTTCCACAGTCGTGTTATATTGATGTTTCATTGTAAAACAAGGAGTTACACAAGATAGCAATGAAATTCTAACAGTAAGGGGCAGCAATAAAGTATTAATGACGTTTGCTAAGATGGTGTACCACAGAATCGAGTCATTATATATCCTTTATGAATCTTGAGAAGTAGAAGCAGACCTGAAGAACAGTTGCATGCTCGATTGGAAGACAATTCAAAGGTTAAAAGCTGATTCTCCCTCATATCTGAACACAGATGCACAGCAGGAGAACATCTTATTTGCAGTAACATTATTTTGTGACACTACCTTGACTTTGAATCCTATCTAAGGACTGAAACTATTACATTTCCTTTGCACATTACCGAAAGTGTGGAGGAATCTCTTTTCCTCCGCCCTCTCCTTGAAACACCATTAGCTGTCTCTTCACACATGGCAGCATCGTTTGGACTCACTTCAGCGTCAGGAAGCATGAGAGAAATATTTCCAACCGTGAAGAGAAAGGCAGCAGAGCACCATCACTCACATACTGTATAGTCAAATGAATGTTTAATAACTCCATAGAGACTCTGATGCCTGCTAACTAACCGGGCTTAACTAAGTGAGAGATCTATAAAATAACTCCCCTCAGTCTCCTGTTTTTCATCAATGTTTCTGAACCGCAGCGGAGGGTTTTCACACCGCAATGTGGCAGCAATTTGGGGTTATTTCTCTGGCGAGGATCTGCAGCGTGTTTCCTTTTCAAAGCTCTAAATGTCGGAGGCTGTCTGGAAGGTACATTTCACGGGCCGTTTGGCAGCAGGAAGTGTGTTTTGGTCGGGGTGTTTGTGTAAACAGCTCGTAATGATTTTAACCTGCGGTGAGGCCTCTGTGATGCTCACACACACAAACACACACACACACACACATACACACAGATATATGTCTGGACAAAATGTACATGACCACTCACTGTACACTTACCCATACACACATGCATATGGGAATACTTGTGCATGTGCATCACTGAAGTTCATTCTTCTCCACTTTATAAGGACTAACACTTCACTTCTTTGACATTATTCAGTCACCTTGACCTGATCTTAAGTTGGAGTTTAAGTGGCCCTTTTGTTAGGTGTATATCAGTATGTAGTGTCTCTACTTTAAAAAGTCCTCTCCTGCTGATGTTCAGGTGTATATCAGTATGTAGTGTCTCTACTTTAAAGAGTCCTCTCCTGCTGATGTTCAGGTGTATATCAGTATGTAGTGTCTCTACTTTAAAAAGTCCTCTCCTGCTGATGTGCAGGTGTATATCAGTATGTAGTGTCTCTACTTTAAAGAGTCCTCTCCTGCTGATGTTCAGGTGTATATCAGTATGTCGTGTCTCTACTTTAAAAAGTCCTCTCCTGCTGATGTGCAGGTGTATATCAGTATGTAGTGTCTCTACTTTAAAGAGTCCTCTCCTGCTGATGTTCAGGTGTATATCAGTATGTAGTGTCTCTACTTTAAAGAGTCCTCTCCTGCTGATGTTCAGGTGTATATCAGTATGTAGTGTCTCTACTTTAAAGAGTCCTCTCCTGCTGATGTCCAGGTGTATATCAGTATGTAGTGTCTCTACTTTAAAGAGTCCTCTCCTGCTGATGTTCAGGTGTATATCAGTATGTAGTGTCTCTACTTTAAAGAGTCCTCTCATTGGACAGTGACAACATGTATCTGTCAATATGCGTTACTTCCATATCTCAGAATTTAAAATGTGCTCCATATTTTCTCAAATGTATCTTAAAGCTGTTTATCTTGTTCACGGTCATGGTGGTTATTACTGCCTTTTGCTTTAACCCTTCAATCGATTTTCCCCCTCATTGACCTACGCTAAAGAGCTTTTATTAATAATACAAAAATGGAAATATGACAAAAGTATTCAGACCCTTAACTCTGTATTTAAGAGACTATTGGCATTGATTACAGCTTTGAGTTTGTATGGGTATGATGGGATGAACACACTTGGATTCTTCATAATTTTGGTGAAGCTATTCTACTGTTATACTCAAAATGAGTGGTTTCTTTCATCTTTAAATGACTAAACCATGCAAACACCAAGCAAATGTATTAGTAATAAGACATCGAACATTGACAGATCCTTAACTCTGTATTTAAGTTGTTATGGGTATGATTGGATAAACACACTTACTGTAGATTCTTCATCATTTTGGTGAAGTTATTCTACTGTTATTCTCAAAATGATTCAGTCATCTTTAAATGACTAAACCATGCAAACACCATCAAATTAGAGCATAAATCTGACACACAGTGCTTTGGATTTTCATCACGTTGTAAAAAGAGAGAACATGTGTACTTCTACTCGGCTTGAATTTCCACTGAGTGATTGTGGATCCAGTCACAGGTTACGATCACAGTCGATAAAACACACATTTCTCGTAACAAAGTCAACCTGCGGTCAGTTTTGACTTCTCCTCTCGATCACCTCCCGTAACTCCCACTGTGTGATCTCTTTTCCAGTAAGGATCGAACTCTGTTGAGAAATGACTCACTTTCCATCAGGAGACTCTTATGAGGCTTTAACCTAAGTTTATTTAAGGGGTAGTAAGAAAAGAACACAGACAGGATCAAAATAAATCAACGACTTGATTCACAAAATTGACTTTAAAATGATTTTATTGATTTAAAAATCTGAGTTGAGAACAAATAGTCCGTTCCAACGTCTGGAACTGATTGAGGTTTTCTGTAACTATCCAAGTCTGTTCTTCTTTTCCACTAACCAGTCTTTAAACAGTGCCAGAGCCAATCCAATGTTCCTGTTAGTGTTTACTTCCTGTCTGTCTTCTTCTACTGTTTACTTTGAGACAGTTTAGCCATCATGAATCCAAAGTTGTCCTCGCCTCCACCAATATAAAAATAAATATTCAAAAAGTATTTATGATGTTTTCTGATGGATGAAAATGAATATAGCTGAAAATTAAACTGACCGGACTTCTTTTTTTGCAGATTGATATAAATGCACATAGTATCTTCATCCTCCTTAGCAACGGTCTGTTCTCCTTAGCAACGGTCTCTTGGCGAAAAATAACCGACCACTGGAATGTCTGAATTGACTGATCAGAATCGAGTATTCAACTAAGCTGTGTATTAACCACTGATAATGGATATATGACCTGATGTTTACCAAAGCAGGTGCAAATATTAATTTATTTTACTCTCAATATAATCTGTAGGTCTTCATGGTTCAGCTTCTCGGAACAATTTGGAGTTTGGTGCCTTTTTCAAGGACACTCTGCGAAGAGACGAACTAGCACCTCTAGTGCAACCTCTGTACTTGTTCCAATTGTTTTACTAATGGTTTTGTCCGGTCTGTTTTCTCTCAGGTATTCTGTCCTACACAACGGGAACAGCACGGAGCAGAAGAAGACGTTTCTGCAGCCCGTCATAGAATCCCGCGAGTCCTGTTTGTGACCAACGGCGACTCTTCAGTCACATCTCAAAAGACCTACACCGACGGGAACACAGCCTTCACTAATCCAGAACCAGATGCTGCAGAAATCGGAAAAAATAGTGCCCCAATGGGACTTTAGGGATCCACGGGAGGAAGGTGACTTTGCCGTGGATGCATCTGGTTTTAAAAGGTGGCAAAGACCCTGAAACAAAAACCAGTTCTCATGTCTTTCCGATGCTATATCCGTCAAGCCGTCCCACAAAAGACTGAGCGGTCCGGGTCCAAATGGTTTCAAGACCAGTTTGTCGTGTGGAGAACCGGCAGCTTTCCGGGGAATGTGTAGGAGAATTTCACAGCACGAGATGTGATAATGATTGCCTGGGAGTCGTGAAAGTGAATTATGTTGCCAAAGCTATTTGATAATATATACAGGGGATCTATTTGTGATTATTATATAATGCTCCCTGTTGTTTTCCAGTGCAAAATCAGAACGATAGAAGGTTCATTCCTGTAAAACGAGTGGCAAAGTTGGCCAAAAATGAGCTCATGAAACAAGTCATTCCTGGAAAAAAGAGGCAGAGTTTAGAACAATATTTCTCTTTGCTGAACATGAAGTGTTTTAGCCTTGACACAAAGCTGGGGAACCTGACTGCCAGGTCTAAGTTTTCTCTGCTAAATCCTCATTAAGCTGAAAGAGAAATGTGGTTGCAAGGCTGCGGTAAATCCCTGACCTGAACTGTCGAAGTGCATTATAAAAGAGGCTGCTATAGCTCCGTGTTCATCGCTCCATAAAACTCTGTCTGAATCCTTGTTTCTTTTCCCAATAAGAAGTTAGAGGATCAAAACAAGCTGCTCATGAATTATTCAACAGGAGCAATATGTGCAGTGTGTGTGCGTGTGCGTGTGTGTGTGTGTGTGTGTGTGTGTGTGTGTGTGTTTGTGTGTGTGTGTGTGTGTGTGTGTGTGTGTGTGTGTGTGTGTGTGTGTGTGTGTGTGTGTGTGTGTGTGTGTGTGTGTGTGTGTGTGTGTGTGTGTGTGTGTGTGTGTGTGTGTGTGTGTGTGTGTGTGTGTGTGTGTGTGTGTGTTTGAAGGTTCTTGCAGTGTTTGTGTGTCTGTATGTGTGTTTTTATCCTCCTAATGACTGATGTTCGTATGTATGAAATGCTCTTTTCCCATCATCCCACACTGTGTTGCCCCCGCTTCATCTCAGCACACCATTCATTTCCTCTGTTCGCTTCGGAGCCCGCGTTAAAGAATGTACCAGAACATTTTCCATGTGTCTGTATCATGGAAACTGAAAACACTAAAGCCAACTGCTGATAATGAAAAATGAAAATCTGCCTTTTTTTTTAAAAGCACATTTCCTGTCGTACCCGTGTAAATAGTCCTCTCTCTTGTAGCGTTCATTCAAGCGCCACATGATTAGTAGTTTCCTCCTTTTGAATACACACAATTAAAACAAACTCATTCGCCCAAAAAAAGGCATTTTTATTTTGAAAATAGGATTACAAATGGTATAATAACTCTCATTGCCAGAAGGGTAGACAAAGGTCCACAATGTTGAAATGTATAAAAACAAGTTGGAGACCGCATTCAATTAAACTGTCAGTTTGCTGCTTAGCTAGCCAACATAAACTTTCTAGCGAACTAGCAAACATTAGCTCTCTAGCCAACTAGCAAACATTAGCTATCTAGCCAACTAGCAAACGTTAGCTATCTAGCCAACTATTTAACGTTAGCTATCTAGCCAACTAGTGAACGTTAGTTATCTAGCCAACTATTTAACGTTAGCTATCTAGCCAACTAGTGAACGTTAGCTATCTAGCCAACTATTTAACGTTAGCTATCTAGCCAACTAATGAACATTAGCTATCTAGCTTACTAGCCAAGGTAAGCTATGTGCTTTACAAGCTAGCAATGTCCTTTATCTATCCACATAGTTAGCTAGCCAACATTTACTACCAATCTAACAAACTAGCTAGATAGCAAATGCAAGTTAATTAGCTAGCTATTGCCAAACAGGTGGCTCTCTTAAATTAGGATTATTATTTAATATCATACGGTTGAATTTGAAGTGCGGACCTCTGCTACCGTTCGGGCAGTTTAATGTAGTTTATCTTTAAACTGTGGTAGTTTAAAGATAAACTAAAACAGCAACAAAAATCTCCTGTTGTTGTGATTTATTTGGATTATTTCATCAATGGTTTCCATCATACTGTTGGACTGTTTTTCTCTAACTAAGAAATACAGACATGAAATATAAATACACAGATAATGTTTTGTTTTTTCAGCCAAATCCCTGAAGTGAACCCCAATGAGTTAATGAGATGAGAATGTTGAGCACTGATTCTCTGGCACAAAGAAAACCCACAGAGCTGTTGACTGGAAACCCTGTGCGGGCGAGGTGATTACCGATCCTTCACAGACATGAGCCCATTGACCCAGTTTAACAAGTCACAGGAAATATCCAATCTGACAAAAGGACTCCGGCTCTCATGTTACTCCAGATACATAAATATGAGCCTCACAGATCTCAGGTCAGCCGAGACACCCTCTGACATGATTTACCCTTCATTATGATTCAATTACCATCATATAGAGTGGTGCAGTGATCATGTGTTTTTTGTAGGCGGACTCTAATGTTAGCATTGCAAGGGCTTACTCGTCAAAAAGCAATGGGACTTTTCAATTGGATTTTTTAACTATGTTGAAAATAAGATCTGTGGTTAACACACGGTTACATACACGTTTAGTTTAGAAGGATAATTTCCCCACATTTACACAACTTTTATCCTTTTTGAGGCATATGCAAAGCTAACGTTAGGCTATAAAGGAACTATAGTGCGGTCACATGACTTCACGTCACCACCGCTAAGCTAAAGGCGGCTAATGTTGGGCTATAAAGGAACTACAGCACGGTCACATGACTTCACGTCACCACCGCTACGCTAAAGGCGGCTAATGTTGGGCTATAAAGGAACTACAGCACGGTCACATGACTTCACGTCACCACCGCTAAGCTAAAGGAGGCTAATGTTGGGCTATAAAGGAACTACAGCACGGTCACATGACTTCACGTCAACACCGCTAAGCTAAAGGTGGCTAATGTTGGGCTATAAAGGAACTACAGCACGGTCACATGACTTCACGTCACCACCGCTAAGCTAAAGGTGGCTAATGTTGGTCTATAAAGGAACTACAGCGCGGTCACATGACTTCACGTCACCACAGCTAAGCTAAAGGTGGCTAATGTTGGGCTATAAAGGAACTACAGCACGGTCACATGACTTCACGTCACCACCGCTAAGCTAAAGGCGGCTAATGTTGGGCTATAAAGGAACTACAGCACGGTCACATGACTTCACGTCACCACCGCTAAGCTAAAGGTGGCTAATGTTGGGCGTGATGACGTTTAGTCGTCTCATTTAGACACTTGTTAGCAACCTCCGTTTTTAAATTCACCAGTGGGGTATTTAGTGACGTATTTTATGTCGTAGAACAAAACATTAAAATCTCTTCAGCTTGTGTTAACCACAGACCTTATTTCAGGATAACAACCAAAAACACTTTCAGGAAACCATTGACCTCCAGACCAGGGGACAGGAAGTGATCAAATATTGACTATTTTCCGGGTCTTAGCACTCATTCCTGCACCACTCTATTAGAACAGAGTACATTTTTAGCCTTCAGACGTACGAGAGTCAACATGAAAGACCACAGGAAATCTCACTTGAATTTGCTTCAATATGTATTTTTTATTGTTAATTTTAAATATCCAACACAGATGTTGCCAATGCCAGTTAATGCATTGCAGATGATTTCCAACTGCTGGCAGCTGTTGAAGTGTCCTTGAGCAACTCATGAATATCCATGGGTTTTCTTTAGGGATCATCCATCAAAAATCCATTTTTCAGAGTATCATTCACCATCTGCAGGCTTCAATGTTTGCAATCTGAGAATAAAATAGTTAAGTTAAAGGCCGTTATTTAATTAACATTATAAAGTCCTTATGTTAAGTGGAAATTCAAGAAGCTTTGTCTCTCTTGGAAAATAGTTTTGTGGCAGGCGTGCATTTTTCAGCATTAAGTAATAGACAGAAATGACACATATTTCCTTTTCACTGATGAACAGCATACATTTCTCTGTTCTTCTTTCCATTCAAACTGGGACTTTTATAAATAACGCGCAACGCACTTTTCAGTCATTCCAGTAAGGATCCATTTTAGCAGTTATATTCTATTACGTTTCAAAAGTCGTAAAACACAATATCAAGTCATTCATTTGAGTCATTTATCCCATCCAAAAACAACCTGTGAATGTATTTTAGGCGCATTTAAATAATATTTATCTTCCATTATATATTCAATGTTCTTAAGATAATTAAGACTTCCTCACTAATATGTCTATTTTTGAACCTTTTACATATAAGGGAACGTTTGTACAACAAGATATGTAAAAGCATTTATTTTTTCTTATAAAATATATATTTAAAAACAGAAGCCTAAGCTTTCTGATAAGTCTTGACCCCCAAAAGTGTGTTACTGTAGTTTAAAATAAGCTAGGGAGTGTCCGAATCATACATTTTTCATTACTTTTAAATAAATTAGACACAATAAACAAGGCCTTATTATCTTTACTTTGGATTTTCTTGTATTTTAGCACGTTTTCCGTGTCCTCAATTAAGAAAGGAAACTCAGTGCCCTTGCCTGTCCTTCACTGACCTCTCCGCAGAGCCACAAACATCTGTAAACATCACGATAGAAACTCCACAGAGACGTTTCCAGTTGCACGTTGAACCTTTTTATAAGCACAATCATGGTTTTCAGCATCTTTAAACCCACTATTTTCTTTTCAAACAAACATCCGTGTGTTGTTCCATCCGTGTAAAAGGACACAGACTTTGTGGCCTGAGAGTTGTTTTGCTTCTGTCTTTTTTTTAAAAGCCTATTTCTCTGTTCAATTGCCGCCCCCTTCCACCGCTGTAGTTTCCATGACATCCAAGTTGAATGTCAGAAAGTGTGTGTCCATTCTTCTGCAGGTGTGTGTGTGTGTGTGTGTGTGTGTGTGTGTGTGTGTGTGTGTGTGTGTGTGTGTGTGTGTGTGTGTGTGTGTGTGTGTGTGTGTGTGTGTGTGTGTGTGTGTGTGTGTGTGTGTGTGTGTGTGTGTGTGTGTGTGTGTGTGTGTGTGTGTGTGTGTGTGTGTGTGTGTGTGTGTGTGTGTGTGTGTGTGTGTGGGAGAGGCTCCTCAACAATCTAAAATTAGGAAAGTCAATCTCGCCTACCTTTGTGGAATTTAATGAGGCACAAAGTGTGAAAAAAGGCCTTTCATAGAGAAGTACCAAACACCTCACCAAACGAACGAAAAGGAAAAAGATTTGAAGAGAAGGATACCTTTGCTGATCCAAATACTTTCATGTTAGAAATCTATAAATGAATCCTTCAAAGAAACAGAAAGAACATCCGTCCACTGGAGAAGAGATTTGAAATACAATTTTGTAAAATACATCGTCAGTCCTCAAACTCCTGCGATTCTTTTAGGGGTAGTTGACCTGACTTACCAAATAAGCACCAAAATGTGAACTCGATTCAGATTTTGAATTCATTTATACAAAGCAAACGAGCAAGAAAAGCCGACCTGCCACTAATACAGACCAACAAAACACAAGTGTGAGTTTTCTCAATCCTGCCTGATTGGTGAGGGTTGCATTTATGAAAAAATTAAGAATGTTGAAGGATAACAAACGGTCTTAATTTTCATAAAGAATCCATTATTTTCCATTTCACTTTAAGCAGAATCTGTAGCATTTAAAGCCATTTGCTTCCCAAATCTCCCAGTGTTTATTCAATTCATTTGGGCAAAGCGACCTATAGTGAAATCCCTAAAGTTATTATTTTTCAACTACCAAATAAATCACGTTTTTGAGCACCTAATTGGACAAGAAGTTTTATTTTTTGGGCAGGATTTTCAGGTCTGGTGAGAAATGTGATATTTTGGGGGGGGGTTCTCATTCTCGTGGCTCGACAAGAAAGCTCTATAACGACCCCTACAAAGTTAATAAAAGGCAGCCCCTTGCTCAGGTTTCACCTACAAGACAGACATTTGGTCGGCATATGTAGCATGCTGAGACGCTCAAAAAAGCCAGTTGGCGCCATATAGTAAACCCAACAGGAAGTCGGCCATTTTGGATTGTTCGTGCAATTGGCAAATTTGGCCCGTTTTTGCACGTTACATGAACCGTATTTGAACATTTGAACAAACACCTCCTACAGTTTTCATCCGATTGACTTCCAATTTGGTCAGTACCATCTTAAGACCTTGTGGATCATCATTTACAAAAAGCTTTATTCTACATCGAAAGCCCTCGCTGTTGTGTGGCGGCCAAAAAACACAGTTTGCCATGAAGTTGTTTGAGCAAACATACTCCAATATGGTCGAAATTTCTCAAGGATCTCCTAGCCTGAAAACATTTACATGCCAATATTAGTAACACGTTTTAGACTCTAACATCCTCCATCTCCCAGATGATTTGGTCAGAAATGCCTCAAAACATGGGGAAAGCTTCATAGTGAAATTAAAACCCCACATTAGTTTCTGGTTTCATTCATTTTTGCACTTTTTTTTCAAATGCTGGATATATATACGTCATGTAACCACGTATATTTGGTACTGAAGTTCTCAGCACAGCCTCTTGTAAAGCCTTTTTTAATTGCTAAATGTTTTTACCTGCCTCCTTTAATCTCAGTTGCATCATTTCTCAGACGCAGCCGCTGTCTAAGTCCTACTTTGTGTCAGGAATATTCGTCTGCTTGGATTTACAGGACACTACAAAACTTCTCATTAAAGACAGAATTATAAACTGATATAAATGTAAAAGCAGGATTTAAGCAATGGCTGCCATTTGTTCCTGAGTCATTCCTCCTCTGTATCCATCTCTCTTTTTTTAATGAATTCATTTATGTTTTGCAGCTTACAGCATGAATGTGTATATATAGAAAACAACTCCCGCAAAACTGTCCAAAGGAGACGAGAAGAACAACTTTTATAAAAACTCTTCAGTATTTATTTTGACAGAACAGAAATGGGTATTTTCATGTATTAAAAGAACAAGGGAAAAAAGGCTTTTCTCTTTCAGGGAGCTGAAGTGTGGATGACTTTGTTCTGTTGCTATGTGACAGTTCTGATAAAGGCTAATTAAAGATTAAAGAGATGTTGATAATCCGCCTGGTGACTTTCTTTGTGGCTGAGATAAAAGCGGCGTGTCGGTTAGCCGTCTGATTTAAACAACATTAAAACTTCACTCAAAGGATTCCTGTTTCCTCTAAGCTAATCCACTCTCTCTCTTTCCATTGATGAAGCCACTCAGCAAGATTAGAAAGAAAAACTCTTAAAGATAAGGCACTTATAAAGATCTCCTTAGCAGAGATGATGAATGGAAGCAGCGTTACGGGAAAATCTCACTCTTTGCACTCACTTACATGTCGATTTATATCCTATTATGTATGATAATTACTTGTACTGTTCCCTACTGAGAAGAACCTGCTAATTAGTTCATTCATCTGGGTAAAAAGTCAGAGTTTCTCATTTAAAAAAAAGTCAGAATTCCCCCAAAAATCTGAAATTCTGAGAAAAAAGTCAGGATAAAATAATAATCTGAGTTCTGAGAAAAAAGGGAGAACTTGTTTTAAAAGTGAGTATTTTTAAGAAGTGAGAATTACCCCCCAACAATCTTAGAATCTGAGAAAAAGTGAGATAAAAAAAAGACAGTTTTCAAAAAATAAGTCAGAATAAGAAAAAATTAAATGTCTTTTAAAAAAGTCAGAATTCTATTCCATTAGCAACGTTCTGTTCTCCTTAGCAACGTTCTGTTCTCCTTAGCAAC